CAGGGTGAGATATACCATAATAGAGGTTAGATCTAGAGACCATAATCATAGGTTAGAAGAGAGATCTGGCACCAGTGAGACCTCTAGTGATCTAAAAGGATGACACCAACTGGCAAGCTGAGCAATCGTGGAGAGACCACCTTAAATGCCCATTCCTGATAATGAACTTAACATCTACCCTATATGTCATCCTAGAACCTTCATCCAGTGACTGATGGAAGCAGAGGCAAACACCCACAGTTAAACACTAAACTGAACCCATGAAACCCAGTGACAGAGAGAGGAGTGATGAGCAAATTGGCAAAGAATGGGCTGGCGAAACCGCAGAGACAGCCGATCTGAACATGGGGAGCTCTTGGACCCCAGACCGACAGCTGGGAGGCTAGCATGGGACTGATCCAGACCCCCTGAGTCTGAGAGTCAGTGAGCTAGTTCTAGGACAGGCTCCAAAGCTACACAAAGAAACTCTGCCTCAAAAAACCAAAACCAAAACAAAACAAAACAAAATAGTAGTCTTATTTCTCATGTTGGGCACATATACACAACTGTAGCTCTATACGTACAAATTGACCAGGTTCTGTGCTGAGAAGGTCAGAAATAATGACTACTTCTGGGTTCCCGACTTTATTTCTAAATATCACTCTCCACTATAGAAAGCCAAACCTTCAAACTAACGGCTAGTGCCGAAGTTAGGGCAGGAAAACAGAAGAGGAGCATGACAACAGTAAAATTTACCCTTACTTAGAATAGGAATTCATGGGTCTGTATTGATATAAACGCAGAATCAAAAATATGCAAGGGAGTAACACTCTACATCAATTGCTTCTTAATGAGTATAAAATGAGTTTTATGACCCTTATAAGAAAGAAACTTGGCCAGGTATGGTGGTGTACATCTGTAATTGCAGTACTGAAGGCTGATACAGGATTGTTAATTTGAGGTCAGCCTGGGGTCTTTGGGAGACTGTCACAAAAAATAAAAATAAAAAATTGAAGATACATGTATTAGCTGGTTTAGTGTGTCAACTTCACACAAGGTACTTTTCAGAGAGGAAGCAGCCTCAGTGGAGGAAATGCCTCCATGAGACCCAGCTGTAACACATTTTCTCACTTAGTGATCAGTGGGGAGGGCCCAGCCCATAGTGGGTGGTGCCATTCTTAGGCTGGTGGTCTGGGTGCTATAGGAACGAGCAAGCCAAAGGAAGCAAGCCAGTAAGCAGTCCCCTCCATGGTGTCCGCATCAGCTCTTGCCTCTGAAGTCTTGCTCTATTTGAGTTCCTGTTCTGACTTTCTTCAATGATCAACAGCAGTGCTGAAGTGGAAGCCGAATAAACCCTTTCCTCCCCAACTTGCTTTTTGGCCATGGTGTTTCATCCCAGAAATAGAAACCCCAAGTAAGACATTACATCTTAGTAAAAGCTTCACAGTCATGAAGCAAGTTTGATACTGTATGACTCCTAAAGAAATTCAAAGAGACAAGCACCTTACTTATGTTTCCATCAGAGGTTCATAAACCATGAGAAAGAATCACAAACAGAAATCAGACAAATGCATACTGAGGGACACTATGGTAACGAACCAACCAGTACTATTTAAAAAAAAATCAAGGCCATTTGGAAAGGCTAAAGAACTATTCCAGACTGGTGAAAACGAAAGAAGCAGGACAGCTAAAAACAGGGGTCACCTAGGATCACTGGATTATAGACCTAAATTGGAAACAACTGGGACAAGTGATGTCTTAGAGTTTCTATTGCTGTAAAGAGACATCATGACCATGGCAAGTCTTATAAAGGAAAATATTTCATTGGGTGATTGAGTTTCAGAGGTTTACTCCATTATCATCATGGAATATGGCAACATGCAGGCAGACACGGTGTTGGAGGAGCTACATCTTGATCCCACAGGCAACAGGAAGTGAGCTAAAAGAGGCATAACTTGAGCACAAGAAACCTCAAAGCCTGTCCCCAGTGACACACTTCCTCTAACAGGCCATACCTACTTCAAGGAGGCCATACCTCCTAATAGTGCCACCCCCTATGAGCTCATGGGGGCCAATTACATTCAAACGAGCACAAGTGGCACTAACTTAAGCAGAATCCATAGATCCCATGGTGTGAAGTTCTGAAGGCACATGCTCCTTCAAATCCTCATGTTGAAGCCCAAGCCTCATTGCAGCTGCATGTGGACTAAAGAGCTATTAAGGTTAAATGAGATTATAATGGAGAACAAGTGATCGACGGGATGCAGTTAGTGTGCCTATCAGAAAGGCATCACAGAGCTTTCTGACTTCTCCCAGGCAAGCTAGCACACAAGTCTGCTACAAGTGAGGGAGCACCCTCATGAGAAAATGAGGTGAAACCATTTTCTCAATGGTTTGATAAAATCAGCACCTTGATCTTGGTTTCCCAGCATCCAGACACATTATTTGCTGAGTAACCTAGTCTGAAGAATTTTGTTATAGTGGCCCAAGGTGCTAGCATGGTAATACTGGATTGACACAAAATGCCTGATTTTGATGGCTGTGTTGGTCCTTGTTATCAATACTCATGTATGTATTAAGTATACAGTTCCAGAATATCATGTCTACTCTCTTCTAAAATGGTGCAGAAATCTTTAAGATTAGGTAAATGAGGTGAAGGATAAGTAGGAAATTTATTAGGTCTGTAACGATTATGTAACTTTTACAATTATTTCAAAGTAAAAACTGGAGATTGAAATATTTTAATTATCATCCAGAAATATTTTTATAAACATGAACTGTCATTTTACATTATCGTATGGGGATTGGATTGGTGTCTATTTTACTTTATTAAAAGAGAAATCTAGAAAGACCTACATCATTTTACTGCAATCAAAATGGCTATACCTCAGATATTCATATTCAATTAATAAATAAAAGCATTCATGACTACAATGGTAATAATGACATATTTATACAGCTGCTTTGAATAATCTGGAGAAAAAAAATACCTGGAAGTGGGAGTGGGGGTAGGTGGATGGAGTTAAAGGACATACACTGTTAGCTTCAAGCACATTAATGTTAACATAGGATTTTTAAAAAATTTACAAGTATACTGTCTGCATGTATGTGTGTGCACTATGTGTGTGCAGCACCTGAAGAGACTAGAAAAGGGTATCAGAGCCTCTGGAGCCGGAGTCAAAGCTCTGAGTCTCCAAGTAAATGCTGGGAACTGAACCCAGGTCCTCTACAAAAACAGCAAATGCTCTTAACCTCTGAGCCCTATCTCCAGCTCCCAGGATGGAATTTGAGTCTACGTTGTAAGAAAACTAAAACGAGATTTTATCCTGAAAATTTGACAAACTGGCGTAAGAACCAAGTTACATACCGAGGGAGAGGGTGAACCAATACTGCCGTAACAAAACAGAAGCAAATTTGTAGAGTAAGAGTTTTGTAGCTCGTGTGACAATGTACCAAAGTGCTGTACGAGACGGTGACTTGGATTTCATGGACACTCCCATGTCGCAGCTCCGTGGCCGCTCACCAGCTACTTGATCAAGGTCTCCATCTTCTCTCAGACTACGGTTGCCTCCTCACACCTGCTTCCACCCTTCCCTGTCATTGTCACCATGTAACTAATACCCTTTTCTTCCCTGAGTGTGAATGAACTCAGATCCAATCACTCCTGTGCTCCTAACAGCAAGCTTCCCTCAGACATGGTGCAAGTGACTATCAGGTCTTTGTGTACCTCCTGTGACCCCATTTCCTTCCACTGTCAGCTCTGCTCACTATGCAAGGTTCACACTGACCCTGCGTTGTTTTCTTCTTAATCCTACCCAACCCGTTGCTGCCTCTGGACTTGTGTATGACCTGAAACTGTGGTTCTGTGGGACAGTTCTTTTTCAAGGTTCAGGAATAGGCTCAAATGTCACCTCTAGGAAGACCTTATTTTACTTCTTACAGAGAGACATAACTTCACTATGCCTCATTGTCACTCTCCATTACTTCATGCCACCAGCTATTTTGCCGGCAGACACTGTTATCTGAAATCCCCTTATTTACAGGTTTATTTTCTGAGTCCTTCAGTAGACAGGACAATCAATAACAAAGGTGATCGTGCCTGATTAATTTTTGGATGATGCCCCAGGCAATTAAAAAGTACAAGGAACAAATGTTGACTGACTCACAGTTCTTTAGGCTTTCAGGTTTCTAACCCACAGTGTGGAGATAATTAGACCCACTCTAGCCATTAAAAATTAGACCTAACTTTTATGAAATTCTTACTATGCCTGAAGCAGTGGGGAAATAACTAGTCATGCAATAAGACCAGCGGGTTACAGAGAAGTTATAATAATAATAATAATAATAATAATAATAATAATAATAATAATAATAAAAATGGAAGGACAAGGCCTTAGTAAATTCATCAGTGCTTAACCTCAGAATTTGCTCCTAGCTGCTATTTAATAGTAGTCTTGGTTCTATTAGAAAACTGAAGAAAGCTATTGCATATATCCCGGGGGGCCTCTGTCTGCACGATGCATAGAGGCACATCCTTATTCTTTTTAGCCCCTCCTTTAAGAGGCCTCATATCTTGGTCCTTCTGTTTTGAACAAACTGCAATTTGCGAGCGGTTCTCTGACTGGATCTTTTGCTGGGTAAATAGCAAAGAGCTACGAGCGCAGTGGAAAACTTCTGCCCGTGGGCTGAGAAGATGCAGAAGTCGAGCGGGATGCGGTGTGCACAGTAAGTATTCCTGAAAGAGGGAAGTTTGTCTGAGCTCAGGTCCCAGGCAATAAGCAATGGGGCTAGTGAACCCCAAGTGGAAGCCCCGCGGGAGAGCTGCCGCTGGGGGCCGCTGGGCGAGACAAAGGCTGGTGGAGTTTGGGAAGATGGGTGTCAGTGTTACAGTGAGGGGCTTGCATGCAAAGGGCCCAGATACATTTGCCACAAGTAAATGAAAGAAGTATTAGAGGGAAACAAAGTGCAAGGCACAGCCACCTAGCAAAAAAAAAACCCAAAAAACAAAAACGCGAACTTACCCTCTTCTGGCCACCCGGCCTCCGTAGCTCAGCGGCTACCTGAGGAATCTGGTAGTCAAGGCAGCGGCGGGGGCTCAACCCGCGTACCGCGAGACACGCGAGGTCTCGCGAGATTTGGCCTAGCGGCCCTGACAGGCGGGAGTTCGTTCCGGGGGGTTATGGGAGGGTTTTGGTGTCAGGGATGGAGGTCGGTCGCTTTGTACGGCCGCTGCTGGAGCCGGCCTGGGTGGTGGGGCCGGACGGTGGCGAGTGCGGGGCAGACCTTTAGGCCCGGCTGGGATGGGCTCGGAGGTGCGCAGCGGGGACTGAGGCGGCTCGGGACATGGAAGCGCCCGAGCGGGCGGCCCGGGAGCAGCAACCCTTTCCAGCGCGCGCAGGAGGACGAGTGGCGGCGGCGGAACAAGACGGTGCTCACCTACGTGGCCGCGGCCGCCGTGGGCATGCTGGGGGCCTCCTACGCCGCCGTGCCGCTCTATCGGCTCTACTGCCAGGTAGGGAGTGGGGGCGAGGGGCGGGATGGGTGCCACCGGCGCCATCACCCTGCGGGGCCTCCGCTTAGGGAGATCGAGGTTACCCGTCCGAGGTTCCTGATCGGGACGGACGTGATCCAAGGTCGCCACAGAAACCTGCCCGTGCAAGGCCAGCTCCGTAATGATGGGGCTTGCTTGCTGCGGTTCTGTGAAGCGCAGGGACAGGGTCCTCCCCGGGACCGGGTGAGTGGAGGTTCCCGGGACACCCCGCCCCTCCAAAAAAAAATTGTCCACCCTAATATGCAAGTAGTACTGAGACCGACAAAAATGAAGTAGTTGACACCCCGGCGTGTATGTGTTCACATGCTTTCGTCGGGCTAGGCTATGTTAACGTTAGATTTTTTTTTAAGTAGTCTTTAAGTCATGTTCCATGTTTATTAGCAGTGGTAAGTCCACAAGAATGCCCTGCTACTGTGCAATCACCAAGTTTTAGAGCAAGAAATGAGGAAATAAATCTAGGAAGCCATGGGATTCAGTGATTCCTTTTTATGAGCAAGTTAAAATGTAACCCAGCGAAACTATTATTGCATCGAACTCGAAAACCTTTAGTAACATATGCCCCAAGAATATATAAGGGGCTCATATTGAAGGAGTACACTTAAATTGCTTTTTATTCAAGCGACTTAAATTCTTTAGGAAAACAGTCATCTTAAAACTCAACCTCCTAACAGAATTATGTACTTATCTGTTAAATAAGGTCAAATACTTGCCCTGGATTTACCTTTTAGGATGAAAGTGTAGTTTTGGCAATGCTGAGAGAAATTGAATGAAGCTAAGTAACTTGTGTAAGGAGAGAAAGAAAGGAAAATATTGATACAGTAGCTTTTAGCGTCTTCCATTAGCCTCACGTTTGGCTTTTTGTTTTCATAGTATTGTTGTTTTGGTTTTTGTGAGACAGGGTTTCTCTGTGGCTTTGGAGACTGTCCTGGAACTCGCTCTTGGCTCTTGTAGACCAGGCTGGTCTTGAACTCACAGAGATCTGCCTGCCTCTGCCTCCTGAGTGCTGGGATTAAAGGTGTGTGCCATCACCCCAGCTTGTTTTTGTAGTTTAGGAAAGGTAAATTGTGTGGAAATCAGACAAACTTCTGTTAACCTCAAGCAGCGGAAAGATGTCTTGGAAGTAGCATCACCCCCACATCTGATAAGGAAATAATAGCAGTGAAGAAAGGTCAGATAAAGATTCCTGGTACTTTGGTAGTTTACTGGGTAACCGAAAATAAAAAACTAAACAAAAAAGGCAAGTACTCATGAACTGGTCACAAAGGATAGATCTGTGTGTATGTAGACAATTACAGACAAGTGTCAGAAAACCATTGACCTTCCCACATGAGGAAGCATTTATGATGCCCTGGGGAAGCAGAACATAAAATAAATCTGTGGACTGATTTCAGCTGTGTTAGAAATAGATAAGCAGGAACATGGACAGTTTTGTGTTTTAATTGAAATGACAAGGTTTGGGTAAACTTTTCTTAAGTGAATAATCATTTATGTAAAGCACCCTAACAATGAAGGGAACTATTTAATAAAAGGTTACACTTCAAAAGTTTTGCTTTACACTAGATAAAAATAGCTTGTCTTCAAAATCTGCTTTTTAAAATGACTCATTGCTGAAAATAGGAATCACTTTAACAAATATAGGCAAGCTGTTGACACAGAGGAAATTATCAGGGGTAGTATACTGTTTGGCTCAGAGTGGAACATTCAGTTGTCTTCAGATTTACTTTTAGCCAGGAAATAAATGAAGATCTAAAACTTGCTTAACTAACGTATCCAGTGTCTTGTTCTAGACTACTGGACTGGGAGGATCAGCGGTGGCCGGGCACTCCTCAGACCAGATTGAAAACATGGTGCCTGTTAAGGATCGAATCATTAAGGTCACCTTCAATGCTGATGTGCATGCTAGTCTCCAGTGGAACTTCAGACCTCAGCAAACAGAAATATATGTGAGTGACTCATGGGGCCATCTATCCACCCATCCATGCTAAAGTATTGCACCCATCTAAACTCATTTCCAAATGCCAGTACACCCCCATGGGATATAATTCACAAATGGAATTATTCATGGACTATGTTAGTGTTTTGAAACATTTACTCTTTGATAGTACCTTATATTTAAGAGGAACTATAACATTTGGGGTTCTTGTGATGGCCTTCATTGTGTAACTCAAGCCAACATCAAACTCATGATCCTCCTACCTCAGCTTAGCCTTGCTGTTACTCTTGATTTCTCAGAGCATTGATCTTTGTTTAAACAAAGGTTTTATTCAGTCAGTTTTACTCTGGCTGAAAACTTACTGTAAATAGATTTAAGGTTTGTTTAACATTGATATCCCCTTAAAAATACTCAATCATAGCATTAGGATCTAAATGAATTAGAGATATGAACAACTGTGTTATGTATGGTGCTGGCTATATTTTAATTTTTAATGAAGTTGAAACAATGTCATGTGATTATAATCCTATTATTAAAGGTTGACTAAATCTTTTGGTCATGAATGTTGAGCTTAGCACTGCCTGATCATGTTATATAGCTTTCTGACTTTTACTCTGGTATAGGTGATAATAGAAAATATGTGGGGAATCATTGGTCATAAGTAATTTACTGGTTTATCAGAAGTATTTCTGTCAAAGAAAAAATAGAACTTTGGGAGGAGGAGAAAGTACTGACGTATGAACCAACCAACGGTCTTGTATGTGCTGGGGAAGCACTCTACATGAAGAAAAAATTTTAAAGATACGAAGTAACTATTTCAATAGTAACAACAATCATATTCTAATCCAGTATCATTGTATCCAAAAAAGCTTCTAAATTTTTACTAATTTCAGTAATTGCAGATTTAAATGAAGATCTAAAACTGTTGCTTAACTAACGGTCCAGGGTCTTGTTCTAGACTATAGAGGTGAATGCTTTTAACTGTAGATTACCCTTAAAAGTCTTTATTTCAAATGTTATTATTAATAAACCCTTATAAAACATAGTGCTTGCCCAGTATAGTAAGCATTACTTAATCTTAATTAAGGATTTTGTGGGTTATGATTTTTGCATGGCAGTAAATAGAATAATGGAGAATTGTTGCTGTTTTTTATTTCTCAAAATATTAGCTCCTTTTAGCTTAACCGATTTTGTTCATTCAGTTTTATACTGATTGTAAATTTAAGTTATTCAGAATTGAGGTAAACTTAACATTGACATCCTTTTAAAAAAAAATTGCTAATCATGACATTCAGGTTTAACTGTTATAAAGTAGTTGGGCTTGAGCTGTTTTTTTTTCCTGGTTTGTCCTTGGACACATTTTAACTGATTTGTAGATTATTGCTTGAAGATGTCAGATATCCAACTGGGGCATTCATAACTGATTTTTTATTGACAATCTGAAACTAAGATAAGCTTGTGGCAATATTCACAGTACATTAGGTTAATAGGAAAATAATATGATTGTTAATTTAGCAGCGGGAAAGAATAGCATCAGATATAATATGTGTTTATTGAAACAGGTGGTACCAGGAGAAACCGCACTGGCATTTTATAAAGCTAAGAATCCTACTGACAAACCAGTAATTGGAATTTCTACATATAATGTTGTACCATTTGAAGCTGGACAGTATTTCAATAAAATACAGGTAAACTGAATGTTAACTTTATGTTAAAAGTATGCGAAACTGCTTAATATGAATTAAATGCTTTTAATTTCTAAAAATTCATTTTCTGGCCAGGTGTTACTGTTCATGCTTGTAATCCTAGGTCACAGTAGGGTGAGATGAGAACAGTGCCATGAGGCAGAGTCTCGCCTGGATATGGATACATAATGGATTCTAGGCCAAGGTGGGCCACAGTGTGAGGAAAAGTAAATAAATAAAAGCCTAGATCAGTACCTCCTTCTTCCAAAACAATGCCATTTTTGAGATCTTCATTGCTTACACCATCTAGTTGGAGGGAGAGTGAAACCAAATCTGTGTTTGCTCCTTTTATTCGTTTTGAGGCAGAGTCTGTGTATCCTGGCTGTCGTGGAGCTCTGTAGACCAGACTGACCCAAACCTTCCAGGTGGTGTGACCAAAGGGCTGCACTACTACACCTGGCTACTGTATTTGCTAAGATTAGATTAAATTGTTTCCTAACCCTTAAAACAAAACTCAGTCTGTGATGAAAAGATGCTGCTGTCTATGATGGTGTTTAAGAGCAGATGCTTTGTTTTAAGAGTAGGAATGTTACTAACCAAGTATCTTTCTTTAATTTGTAGTGCTTCTGTTTTGAAGAACAAAGGCTTAATCCACAGGAAGAAGTAGATATGCCAGTGTTTTTCTACATTGATCCTGAATTTGCAGAAGATCCCAGAATGGTGAATGTTGATCTCATCACTCTTTCTTATACTTTCTTTGAAGCAAAAGAAGGACACAAGTTGCCAGTTCCCGGCTATAATTGAAGTAGCTTCCAAGACCTGCTTCAGATTTGTGATTTTTGGAAAATCATGTATTATGCTTTCTCAGAAGAGAAATATTCTACAGTAATGTATATTGAAACCTTGTATTTTAAATGGCTTTATTTCTTTCTTCCCATCTTCATTTATCTCAGTTAAGACTGAGAGAATAGGTTCAAAACTCAGTCTGTAATGAAAAGATGCTGCTGTCTTGTGATGGTACTTAAGGGCAGGAAATGAACATTGCTCTGTGTTAAGTAATAGAGCAGGAATGTTACTCACCAAGCCTGTGAATATTTGACTGTCCAGTATACCACATGTATGACTAGTAAAAACTGCTTGAAGGGCCAGGGAGATGACTCAGTGGGTTAAACTGTTTGCCCCATAGGCCTGACAACTTGAGTTCCGGTTCTTGGAATCAGCCTTAAAAGAGTTGGAGGAATGGCTCAGAGGTTAAGACCACTGGATGTTCTCCTGAGGTCTTGAGTTCAATTCCCAGCAACCACATGGTGGCTCACAACCATCTATAGTGTGTTCTGGTGCCCTCTCCTAGTATGCAGTACAGGCACACATGCAGAGAGAACACTACGTACAGAATAAATAAATAAATATTTTTTAAAAAGACAGTGTAGTAGCTCGCATCTGTAATCCCAGAGTCCTTACACTGAGAAGGGAGGTTGAGCCAGGAGAATCTCCTTGCCATTATATGCATGCTGTGGCTGCCCACACAAGTACACACATAAACTGCTTTAGGAGTTCAGTTCAATTCTGTAGGTAGGTGCCTTCCATAGTATTAGCCCTTCATACTTTCAACAATGTATCTAAAAATTAAGAAAAAGAAAATGTGCACAGGTGGTTTGTTTTCGTTCATAGAACTTATCACCAAGCAAGGTGGCTGCTACTTTCCTTCAGTATAAACTGACACTATTTAAAACCTGTTTGTCTTGTGAGTATGTAGGGAAGGTGAGTGACACCCATGCTGCAGCACACATGTGCTGGTGGTCAGTGGACATGCTGTGGGAGACAGTTTTCTTTCATCATGTGGGTCTCAGGAATCAGGGTTGTCAGACAAGGCAGCCAGTGCCTTTGCCTGCTGGGCTGTCTTGGCTGAACTGACAGTTTTGAAAACTTAAAGTGGAAGAGGCATCACTCAGCTCTAACAGTTTGCTCCAAGTTTGCATTCTTAATCCAAGTATGACTTTTCCTGTTAAGTTTGAGGTCTGTTTTATTCAGAGTACTGGATAGACAATGACTTGGAAATGATGGTATAATGATCTGACAAAGAATTTCACCTGTTAGTCTATGCTAGCATTTATTGTTATAATTCCAAGTTCACCAATGTATGATGTAAGGATGAAATTGTGAAGACTTACTGATATAAAAGGTCTCTGAGGTAAAAAATGAAACAGAAACAATACAACTCTGACATAATAGTCATTTAATTTTAAGTGTTTTCCAGTAGCCTTTGTTTCAAAATGTAATTTATAATAAAAGGCAAGAACATTTAACATTATAAAGGCCACCTGATGCAATGTTCTGCTCAGGCACTTGAAATATAATTAAACCAGTCATCAAGTTTAAACCAAAATGTTACTTATAAACAAGTGCAAACTGACTTCTACATTCAAATTCAGTTAAATGAAGGCACTCACTGTCTTCACTTCCTGCCCCATCTGTTCACAATGTTTTGTAGCAGGACCATCTTCAAGTACCCTTATAGGTCTGTGATGATTTCTATTGGTAGGAATGCCTGTGCAGCATAAGAGTCTACAATTTATCCAGTTGGCCTAGTACCTGGCAGTTCTCCTTCTGCTGAAGTTGTAGTTGCTACAGCCAGCTTCTCCTGAAATCCTGAGCCATTGTCAGGAACAGCAGTGTTACCCAGAAATGTTAACTATTCTGTTGAAGCTTCATTACGGCAGAGAAGTGGTCCACTGGCTTTCTTTCTCTGTTAGCAGGTCTTGTCTTTCAGGCCTCAGTTGAGCAGGGACTACTTTAGAGAGTTGTCCTTTGTGCTGCTAATGAGTTGATCATACATCTGAAATAAAGGGAAGACATTGGCCCACCTCCTGCACTCCTGGAAGACTTTGGAAAGCCACACAAATTAAGCATAGGGAAGGTTGGAATGCACTTCTTCCACGGTTGAAAATGTGAAGGAATAAAAAGTGAACAGGTCAGTGGAGACCAGGCATTTAGGAAAACTGATGCAGGAACACTGTTGATGGGTTCTGTTGGTTTATCTAATATGTATGGACTGCCTAGAAACCAACTTTTTGGAGATTGTTATTAATGAGCACTGATTAGTGTTGAGTAGTTCAGAGGAATTTAGTATTGTACTTAAATGGTACTTAGGGAATTTAATATAAAATGTGATAATCCCACTGAATTATGTGGAATCTATGTTGCATAAGCCAGTGGGTTTTTTTTGTTTTGTTTTTTACCTTAGCAGTCACTGTGACTTTGGGCTTCTTTGTGGTGATAAGCATCAATTTCTTCATAAATAGCTCTGAAACAAAGCCACCAAGACAGAAGAATTACATATCAGTTTCAAAGTATTGTATCACCACCACTAAAAAATACAAGCTGTTGGGAGTAGGGGGAGGATGAGTGTCAGGCATCTTAAGTGAATAAAAAGATCTTTATCCTTGAGCTTATTCTAACATAAAACATCTACTGTTAGAGTTCTTTCCCATGCCTAATAAAGGCCAATTTATTTTTACTTTTGATTTAAAGGAAAATTATGGTTCAAACTAGGGCATTTTGACTTTTTTATTTAAAAAATCTAATTTAAAATATTTTAAAAATATTAGGGACTGGAGAGATGACTCTGCAGTTAAGAGCCACTGTCTGCTCTTTTAGAGCACCTTGGTTCAATTCCCAGCACCCACATGGCAACTCACAGCTGTCTGTAACTCTGTTTCCAGAGGATCCCATACTCTCCACAAAGACATACATTCAGGCAAAACATCAGTGCACATAAAATAAAAATAAATAAAAAAATTAACAGTTTGCTTTATTTAACATTGTATTACATCCTAGACCTGGGAGAAACCTTTAACTTGGTTATCTTTGTGCCTTAAATAAATTATAATTTAATAATTTTCTCAGTTTTTTATTTGTATCTTTATAGCTCAAAAATGTCTGTACCCAAAGGTGGCATTCATATATAGAATAGCAAAACACAGATGGAAGAAACCTCCCAAAATAACAGCACTATGAAACAAACCAAAGCGACCCACTCCATAAATTTTACTGTTTCTAAGAATTCTAGACTTACTTTCCATGGAGTAATTTTACCTTTTACCCTCTTTAAACCACTGATCTCAGTATCTCTCAGGAAGAAACTTCATGTCTTAGTTAAGTTTCCCATTTTAATGTGGAAACTTCACTGACCTTTCTCAGTCCCTCCAGTTTATTTTCATATATATCGCCTTTTACTTCCACAATCCTGTCAACCTGTCTTCTCAAACAGCTCTTCAGTAAGTGCTCCCTTTTCCAGATCTTCAACTTCTCTATACTAGGTTCTACCCTCAGTAGCTCCACTTTTACATGAAAACCAGGGCAGTCTTTCATATACTACTAGAACCTATCCCAATCCTCAGTTCCCAAGCCACGCCCTCTCTTTTCACTTAAGTTCTTGTAAGTTATTTGTATGTATTTTCACTCTAATTTTTAACACTGAAATGTGGCTTCTGTCCCAAATTCACTAAAATAGCTTTTAACAAACCCTATTTTCATGTAACTGAATCCAACATCTAATTTTCTGTTCTTGACCTGGTTGTACTCTGGATAGTGTTCATAGCCGGGTACAGGTTAAACTTCCACACACCTTGCACTAGGTTCCCTATTCCTTTCTTCATTGTCCCTGCTGGAATTCCCAGTTCATTGTGCGAAAGCTTTCCACTGGGTTTCTATTCAAGTTATTTTGTAGACTTGACAAAAAGTAACAATGCTGCCTCCTATGGTTGCCTCTAGCCTTCATTTATGTTAGTTCTCCCTAACATACACACTCTAGTTACTGTACTCTTTCATACTATTGACACATGTATTTGCCTGCCAGTTTATTTAACTTCCTTCTCCACATTACATTTAATGCTATAAGAGAGCATGTCTTCTTCAAAATTATGTAGCAGTAACTTCCTTGAGTATACATGAAATGCTCAAGAGAATTGTGTGTATTCTGAAGCTATATAAATATATGGGACAAAGAGAAAAATTTTGGCCTGGGATTCCTGGTCAACCAGTGATGTGAAAACTCCAGAGTCTCTGCTTTTCCTTAGGAGTTCCTGGATTTCATGAGACCTTCAGGAGAACTGAGGCTGTAAGTCTCCAGAAAGCAAAAACCACAGTGGTAAAGAGTTTCTTCTCCAGTTCCCCTACTGACCATCTCATCTGTGGTACTTAGGACGCAACATACCTGCTTAGAGCAGTTAGCTAATCTAAATATGCTCAGAAACCTGACATACCTGGGGATGGAGTTTAAGTACCAGTTTCTTTAACTATTTAACTACATATATTCAATGACACAGCCACTTTATCAAGCTTGGCTGAGGGAAATTCCATCATTCTGAGTTAGGAAAAGTGCCTAGCAGGTGGGTGATGGTACATGCTTACAATCCTAGCACTCAGGGCAGGGCAGGAAGGTCTCCTGGATCTATTACTGTTTAAGGGCTTAAATAAGGGACAATACATCGATGCTTACATGTACTGAAAAAAAAGTAAAAGACACCAAGGCAAAACAGATGAGGAAAAATGGGTTAAAGTAAGTTTTAAGAGCTAGTGGGACAAGCCTAAACTAAAGCATTCATAAGTAATGATAAGTCTCCTTGTCCTGATTGGGGCAAGTTGATGGTCCAAGAAAACCTCCAATTGGCATTCCTGGGTATATGATGAACTTCAGAACATAGTCTGTACAGCAGATAGATAATCCTCACAACCACCACCTTTGCTAGCATTAGGAACACAGGCTTGGTATCCCAGTCTTGAGAAGTACTAACTATGTGGACATGCTAGTTTTTTTTTTTTTTTAACTATTGGTAATTGATTTTTAAAGGGTACATTTTAAATTCTACACAGACCAAGCAGAATACAGCTGGCGACCAGATATAGACTCCAGGCTGCTAGTTTCTGAACAGTGATTTCCAAAAACTCGTTTTGAGCACTTTTTCATAATTTGGTGGGTAATCTCTTACTCAAGAGGATAGATACTGAATCTATAATAGGGGGCTGGAGAGATGGCTCAGCAGTTAAGAGCACTGGCTGCTCTTCACAGAATCTGGTTTCAATTCCCAGCACCAGGCCAAAGTTTACAATAGTCTGTAAGAACAGTTCCAGGAGATCTGGCATCCTCTTTTTGCCTCCGCAGGTACAGGTACACTTGTGGTGCACAGACATAAATGCAGACGAACATAAAATAATAACTACAATGTGCTTACCATCCCATATACAATGTGGCAAACAGGAAATCATTAAGAATTTCAAGTTAAAAGCATTTTTATTTTCCTTTTGGACAAGGTCTTGCTTTGTCACCTACACTGGCCTCATTTATGATCCTCCTACATCTGTCTCTCACATGCTGAAAGTATACTGTATGGCTATACCTGTCTATAAAACAATTTTAACATCAGTGGTCACTTTTAAGGATACTTTTGCCATGTTGAACATAAGAAGTTCTTTTATACATGTCTTTTGATTCAGTTCTAGGGGAACATTTTTAAAATGTGGCATTAACTTGCCAGCAAAAGATAGTGTCCTTCTCCAGCTAGAGAGACATTTTCCACCAATCTATGCTGAATGTTGGTTCCAGTTACTTCTTAATGTGTAACCCTAGCATTTTTATTTTTCAGTCACGGGCTGAGAGCAGTAAGACCATTAAGAGCAATGGCCACTATAAAACCTCATTAATCATTTTTAATCAGGCCATAAATTTCTGCCAAGAGCTAAACAAAGCAAAATGAATGGCTAAGCTCAGTTAGCTCTGTCACCAAAGGGAACCATGACCAAACATAAATTAATAATTTTATAAATGACTTACTCTGTAGCAGGAGCTAAGGGATCAAACTCCATTACCTCGTAGTAATTGGGTGGCTGGAGATCATTGTTTGTTATCACTTCAGGTGCGTGAAGGGAAAAGAAGACATGTACAGTTAATATATTTAGAATGTAAATATGTGAGTCTAACAAATACAGCCAAAATGGTTCAAATGCTACTAAGTTCCATGAGTTTATACATAAAAAATTTTCCAAACCTCAACTAAAATTTCATGTATTTTAGTGTGAACCAGATACAACATTCAGTTCAGCACAAGTATTTTTATAATCTCCTAATTCGAATCATAATGATGTCAGCCCTGAGTTTATTACATGTGGCTTCAAAGTACAATGAACTCTGCACATTTCTCCTCTATTTTTAGTTAATAATCTTTGGCAGATTCCAGCATTCTCACACAAATTGGCTTATTTGTTGCAAAGTGTAGAATCTTGTATACCTGGATGATTGCTGGTCAAGGTTGGCAACCTCTGGCTCGAGGGAGCTGCTGTGGCAGTCTGTAGGCTAACTGGCTGGAGTAATACTGAATTGGAATGTTCCAGAAACTGAAGAAAGCATAACACATGTTCAGGCATACATTCTACATTAAGCATTTTTGTCACTTAGATTTCCAGGCCTCCTAATGGCACTACTCCAAGAGCCATATACATTCAATTGGGTGAGAAGTAGTCATTTTTACTACTTTCATTTTAAAGTAATAACTACTTGTAAAATTGCCTGGTTTCATGCTCATTACATTCCATTTCCCACATAAAATGTAAAATGTATTTAAAAATACTTTTTTAAGGAAGAATCGAAATTGTATGGCTCAATCTAGCTTCTGTTTCACCCTGAATATGAAATCTCAGCCTTGAACAGGAATGAAATTCAGTTTACAAATAGGCATGAAGTGATGCTATCAAATTTAGACCAATAAAGATACATAGCTCTTCTTCATCCAGGTTTAGCAAGCATACCCAAGTAAGGACAGAATTTGAGAAGCTGAGGCAAGAAAATGGTGAAATTGAGTATAACCCCATCTACATAGCAAGACCCTTTTTCAAAAATCAAAAGCACATTTTGTAATTTACTCCATCACACATGTTATTTTTTTAGTCACCAGGCACTATTAAGACAAGAAATAAAACAGACCAAGCACCTGCTATATCAGACAAGAAGTGGACATCAGTGTCCAGTGGCCTGTTCTATGGTGAAAGAGCAGGATAACTGGGAGAAGAGAGGCTGAGGTACAGTGGGATTCTGCTGTCACAGCCTGGTGACAGGGAACGGCTAACCACTGGGGACATTGTGGCAGAGCACTGATTGATTAATATTAGAGAATACAAGTTTTGAGGCTCTGAATTCAGGGAAGTTATTATGGTTGAAGCATAGTAGGCCAAGATAGGTCAGGGGTGAGGCAGGAGAGGTAATGGGTAGGGTAAGATCAGCATTCCAGGCATTTACAAGATAAAACAGTAAGGAAAACAGCCAGGTGGGTTTGGAGCAGATGAGTGGCATGACTGAGGGGGACTGCTCTGGTTTGGGTTTTAAGAGAACATTATGACAGGTGATGGGGTGGGAGAGAAACCTTGGCAGGCAAAAGCTTAAAACAAGCTTGGAGAGGTTATTACAGTGTGATGGGGAAGTCCTTCTGTGTATATGTTGTCTTATCAGTTGATAAATAAAGCACTGTTGGCCAGCAGGGAAGCAAGATAGGTGGGACTAGGAGTCAAGGCGGATTCTGGGAAATGTAGTCAAGAGTGGAAGGTCACCATGTGATCCCGGGAAGAGATGACGCATGAGGCTGCGTCCTCCAAGTCAGAGATAGCCATTAAGAAACCATAGCAAATGGCTAGCTTCATAATTAATATATTGTCTTGTGTGGTTTGGGGCTAATATGGAGACTGGACCCAGGTGGGAATCCTGCCACGACAATGGCCATTGTATGATCACTTAAATTGGGATGGGAAAGTGGAGAGGTGAGGTGTGTAGGTCAGTAAACATATTTTCAAAACAAGGTAAACTGGTGAGGTCAAGTGATACTTACCAAGGCTTTCCACCTAAAGCACCTGATAATGTGCACTGACCATTTAATGAGGTACAGAGTCTGCTAGCAGAGCTGGCAGAGGGAACTGGAAAGGAAAGGGTGAGACTCATAGAATTCTGAGTTTAGGGTCTAGGTTGGAGATAAAAATTTGTTGCTTGTCAAATCTTGGTTATTTTAAGGCAGGAACCAAAACTAGGCATTGTAGCGCATGCCTTTAATCCCATTCCTTAGGAGGTAAAGGGATGAGGCTGAGGTAAAGGGATGAGGAGCTCGTGACCAGTGAGACCCTGTCTCCAAGGAGGAGAAAGGGAGAAACGAAAGATTCGAAAGGAATGAGGTAAGTAAGATAGAAAGGGAAGTCTGTCCCTGGGGTTTCCGATACTGAAATACCAGGAGAGAAGAGGGGGCCACAAAAAGAAATGGAGAGAAGCAAGGAGTGTGTGAGCATCATATTTACGCAAAAGAGCAAGTGATTAATAGTCATGGCTAGGGCGAGAATTGAAGCACTAGTTTAATTACATGAAACACACCTTGTGACCTTCACAAGGGCTAGAGAAGGAGGGATGAACAACTCTGAAAGTTTTCCAAACAAACAATAACAATGTTAAAGAAACTATAACTTATTTTTTCTTACAGTGCTGGGGATCAAACTTAGAGCTTGTGCATACTAGACAGGTGCTGTAGCACTGAGCTCTACTCCAAGCCCAGAAATTATGACATCATGATCTTTAACCCTCTTAAGAAAAGTAAAATAAAATTTGTCTATCTCAAAAGATTTAGGTTGCCAACAATGGCTGTGTCAACCCACTGTAAAGGTGTGCAGTGCTTTTGGTCATGGTTATCTGCTAACTGGGTGAAGTGCTAGCAAAGGCTTTGGTTACTCACATTGTCATATGTGTGACTTGAGGCGAGGTTTTGGCTGGTCCTTTGGGTAAACCTAGGATAGTGTGATAACACAGCATGATTACCCTACAGTGAGAACACAAATGCAAAGAGTAAGATGATTTCCCTGGTCTGAAAACAAAGCCTGCCTGCCACACACTTTCACACCACACAAAACGACACCCCACCTCCAACTCACAAAATCATAACAATTGCCATCTGGTTTCAGCGCCCTCCAGGGCATGAAACTCAAAAGCAAACACAGCAAACACTTCAGTCCTTGGCAGTAGTGGACTTGAGGCCCTGGAGTGTACACAGTACATTAGTGAAAACACAGCCTTCAGTCTTCCCATCAGTAGCTACCACCCATTACTTCTTGAAAGGTGAGAAGCGGTACACAGCGAAACTTGGAAAAGATGGGAGAGTTCCCATTCTGGTTAAAGTAGAGTGGAAAAAAAAATTTATATATATATAATTTTTTTTTTTTTTTGGTTTTTCGAGACAGGGTTTCTCTGTGGCTTTGGAAGCTGTCCTGGAACTAGCTCTTGTAGACCAGGCTGGCCTCGAACTCACAGAGATCCGCCTGCCTCTGCCTCCCAAGTGCTGGGATTAAAGGCGTGCGCCACCAACGCCCGGCGTGGAAAAATATTTTATCCCATTACTAATGGCACTATAAAAGCTGGAAAACAAAAGCCAGAGAAGCTAGTCAGCATTATGAAGATAGTAGCAGGCTGGTTGGGAAAAGACCAAAATTTAAATGCTGTTGAATCATAATATTGTAGAATTTACCTTTTTTTTTGTATTCTCTTGCTCTGAATGTAGCCTACACCCTAGAAACAGGCATAAGTAATAACACAACTCCAAGAAAAGCACTCATTTGCATGTAGGGAGCAAGAAAGACGTCCCAGCTTCCTCTGACCCATCTTTACATCCTAAACATAGTCACCCCGTGGTGGCTTCTGGGGCTTCAGAGGCAACAGGGATGGGCAGGAGAGTAAACTGGAGCGAGGAAAACTTCCCTCTAATTGGCTAAGGTGTGACATCAAAAGCATGGGGATAGCAGTTGTTTCTTCCCATCCCCCCATTTGTCTGGAGAAGGCACAGCAGAAGAATGACGACTGGATAATTAGATAATAAGATGGCCAAAGAACAGGGAAGGGGACCTCCAGGACACTGGAGAGCACCAGAGAAAGGTCAAAGGTGAGAGAATTCAGGAAAACCATCTTGTAAGGCTGCTATGAAATCATAAGGTTGACTTGTTTTTAATGTCTATGATTCTGATTTTCATAATGATGCCAAAATATCGAGAACTGGACACACAACCTATTGCTGGATTTCTGACTGACCACAGGTGGTACATAGGCGGGATGGATTTGAAGAGCACAGCAAACGCTTTGAAAGTTCAGCTGATTTTCAAACCCCATATTACAGAGGCACGCTGAAGTTATGAAGTGAATCTATCCAAGTTCTTTGCTTAAGAAAATCAAAATATCAACATTGTAAAGTAGGTAGACTTTACCAAAACCAGGCATCTACTAATAAAAATTTTAAAATGCCAAAGATGTAACTCTAAATGACTAGGCATAAAAAGAGCCAGGAAAACAACAACAACAACAAAAATGTAGCAAAAAGACAGCTAACAGAAATGAACACCAAGAGACCATGGATGCTGGAGTTATCCCAAGGAGATTTGAAGGCAGTCACTGCAGTACAAATATTCCAAGAAGCAAGCGTTCAGTAATGCTCTTAAAAATGGAAAAATAGGCCGGGCGTTGGTGGCGCACGCCTTTAATCCCAGCACTTGGGAGGCAGAGGCAGGCGGATCTCTGTGAGTTCGAGACCAGCCTGGTCTACCAAGCGAGTTCCAGGACAGCCTCCAAAGCCACAGAGAAACCCTGTCTCGAAAAACCAAAAAAGAAAAAAAAAAAAAAAAGGAAAAATAGAATGTGTCAGTTAACAAAAGAACACATAAATAACAAAGTGGAAATTTTAAAACCAAAAAAATAACAAATTAGAAACAAACTTTGAACAGTTAGTGAACTTGGACATTGATCATAGACATGATCCAGTCTGAACAAGAGTGAAAGAGACTAATCAAGTGGCCCTAAAACACTCAGGTGATAATACCACCCAACAACTGTTCCCACAGTCTGAGAAGGAAAGCAAAATGTGTGTAACACTGAAAGTAATTATGAATAAATAAAGGCTGAAAAGTATTTGGTGAAATACACAAACGTAGATTCTAGAATGCCTGTGTAGTGAATTAAATGTTATAATGCCTAGAACTTGTGTTGTCTTATTCAGAAAAGAGATCTCCATGTAGTAAAGGATCTTCAGATGTAGTTGTCACCTGAATGATCTCACTGGGCTCTAAGTCCAAGGGATAGTGATCTTAGAAAGCTTAGTCAGATTGTAGTTGCACATTGGAGAAGCCAGAAGGTGGAGGCAGAAATTGGAATAGCCAATAAGCCAGTGAAGCCAAAGAATACCAAGTCACCAAAGAAGAGGCAGAGGACAAATTGTTACTGAAAAATGCTAGAGAGACTCAATTCCAGACTTCTTGCTTGCATAACTATGAGATAATAAGTATCTGTGGTTTTGAACCATCTAGTTTGTGGGAATTTGTAATGGCAGTCATAGGAAACTAATGTACTCAGCCAATTATACACAAATACGTCAAAAGAAATCACACCCACACACCACAAACTGCTCAAAATTAAAGAAAAGGAAACAAAACAAAAACTTAAGACAAACCACATTATTTACAGAGAAACAACTTTTCAACACCACTTTTTTTTTAAGCAACTGGTAATTTTGTAAAAACTAAGATTTGTGCTACTGAGACAGAACCTATGGGGCTAGAAATGTGATATGTGATCTGCACTCAAGTTCACTATGTGACATTAGCAATCATCTTAGGTGATTTCTTCATACTGGATTATGATCTGAAATCATATACCTTAAACTAAACACCGGTAGCTGAGATTTGGTTTCTTTAGTGAGTTTCATGGAGACATTTGTTTGCTGCAAGGCAAATTTTTTCTGCATTACTCTTTCATTCTCATATCACTCAACAAGGTTAGCAGGATGACTGAAAAACAGTTACTTAGCAGGCAGTTCAGCTAGAAACTGGCCTGCAACATTTCAGTATGTGCTTGTACTGTAGGCCCAAGACCAGAGCTAGCCAGCCAATGGTACAGTCTCAGGTTGACAACCCATGAAGTAATGACTGATGCTTCATTTCCTAGCATATGAACCTTTCCCTCTTCCCTTATACTGTTTCCATGTTCAATTCTTTCTCATTCTGGTCCCTACAGTCTTCTCTCTTTTAAGTATAGAAAAGCAATTAAGTAATTGTTTAATAAAAGAGAAATAAATTGATATTCTGTTACCTAAAGATACCTTGGAAAGATAAGAACCCAACCTTTAACGGATGCAGTGTAACACCAGAGAAAGGAAAGAGAATGAAGTAGAGAGGAGATTTTTAGTTTTTATATGTATTTTATGTTATCTTGGTATCAGCCTCATGGCAATGTGTTATTTATTTCTTGAAATATATGGTGTGTGTGTGTGTGTGTGTGTGTGTGTGTGTGTGTGTGTGTGTGTGTGTGTGTGTCTGCTTACATGCTTGGTCCTGTGTATGGAAAAATAAGCATTAGCCTTGTCATATGACAATTCCAACCTATTTATTCTTTTAGTTTTATCTATCCTGCCTATCCCTAAACTTAAGCCACCACCTTTTGTTTTTCTGCAATTTATGTAAAATTATATAAATATTTCTTTTTCTTTTTTAATTTATTATGTATACAGTATTCTGCATTTATGCTTGCACACCAGAAGGGGGCACCAGATCTCATTATAGATGGTTGTGAGCCACCATGTGGTTGCTGGAAATTGAACTCAGGACCTCTGAAAGAGCAGTCAGTGTGCTCTTAACCACTGAGCCATATTTCCAGCCCTTTCACCACTTCCTTACATAATAACAATATATATACTCACACTACTTGGCATGTTTTCTTCTGTGTGACAGTAAAGATAGGTTCTCATGTACAGAGCCTCCTTTTCCCCCAGCTGTACAGTAATCATATATTACATAGCTATTTATTTAACCAGTCCCTAACTAATGAATTCTTACATTTATTAGCTACCATTGCCCACCATATCATAAAGAAAAGTCTTATAAATACATAGGTATACGAGTGCAGCATAACTTCCTATATTTAAATGTCCAAAGTATATACAGTGTTCATTTTATTAGATATTGTGTCACCTGTCCCCTATAAAATTACATAATTTTGTAATTGTATCTCTTTCCACAGTCAATGAATTCTTATCAAACATTTCAACTTTGGCCAATCTGAGAGGTAAAAACAAAATATCTAAGTCAAACATGATGATTCATGACCATAGTCCCTGCCCTCAGGAGACTGAGGTAGGAAGATTACTGTGTATTTATGGGCAGCCTGAACCACCTACTGAGTTCTGGGTCAGTCTACACTAGAGTGACACATGGTAAAAGAAAAAAATCAAATCAATCAACCAACCAATGTTTTTGTTTTACTGACAGTTTTCTAAGAAATCTAAAGATCAATACAAATATTTATAAGCCACTGATAATTGGGTTTTTTTGGTGACTTTGTTAATTACTGTGTCAATTATGTCAACTAAATGCCTGAAAGAGACACTACGCTGTTGAGATGGCTACATTTTATACAGTGACAGTCAGATTCTCAGCTTCCATGAGTTGTCTGTCACCCATGCTGGGGTGGGCTTTTTGGTGATGTAGCATATTTGAATCATTTCTGCTCCTGTAAGTAACCCCTCATCCATATTCCTGTAAGTAACACCAATAAAACTCATGGTTCACCAAGTTGGACTTGGGTAGTATCTGTACTTTGGTCTGTTGTTGGTTCCTTATCTGGAGTGAGCAGATGCTTGTTCACCTCTCCCTAGAAACAGGTCACCATGTTTCTTACCATGTTTTCTTACATAAGAAAGCAGAATGCCCATTGTGGTGATAAATTGTGATCTAATAAAGCTTATCTGGATCAGAATGTAAAGCTAGCCACAGCCATACAGGCCAGGCAGTGGTGGTACACACCTTTAATCCCAGCAGCCACACTAGTTAGCCATAGAGGCCAGGCAGTGGTGGCATACACATTTATCCCAGGACTCAGAAACAGAGGCAGATGGACCTCTGTGAGTTCAAGGCCACCCTGGGCTACATGAGAGTGAATCAGTCTAAAAGAGAAACAGAGGTCACACAAAGGAGATCTTAGCACTTGGGATCCCACACCTTTAATCCCAGTGCTAGAGACATAAGACAGGAGCATGGTCTCAGAGCAGTTAGTCTCCAGACATGCTGAGGATTTGTGGAGACAGGATCACCCTTTCAGTCTGAGGCAATTGTCTCCAACCATGTTGAGGATAGGATTGTCCCACCCTTGGTAGATGTAAGAGCTCTCAGGTGCCTTGGAGGCTTTGCTTTTCTGATCTTTAGCTTGAACCCCAATATCTGTCTCTAGATTTTTATTATGTGTGTTACATGCCATGGCATTAGTTCTGGGGTGTCACTGACATACTTACAGGGTGGGCAATTCTGTATTTTCTGATGCCAGCAAATCCACCTGTGGATGAAGACTAGGATACAAGCTGTTTGTTACTGCAGGACTCAGAGAGCTGACACCTAAAATATAAAATTCATTTGTTTAATCTTTCTAAGGCAATTTTTACCATGTGCATGGTTACCATCACTATCCTCTGTTTTCCACAGTTAAAGAAAGAGATTGATTTAGATACTTCTGCTGCCATAAAATTAAAGGGTTTCCTCTAAGAGAAACTAAAAAGCATCATTTATAGGGCACAGGAAAAGAGACAAAGAAAATCCCTGCCACAAAAAGAGGCTGTCACAAGTAGAAAATATTATGTATTGGATTTTCCAAAATCTCAAGCTGACCCAAAATGGAAAGGACTGCACATGTCTTCTGCCTAGCACAGAAGTAAACAGTTAGAATTTCTACAGAGAGCTCAGCCTTCGCCTCTAAGTTCTTAAACTCTCATACTATTAAAACATTGAAAGGGAATAATTATCTTCCTTTTCCCCAAATCTGTAATAAGAACCCATGAAAACTCTCCAGCACAAGTGGTTCCACAAGTCTCACTAGCTTACATAAGCAAGCCGCCAATATTTCAGATATGAAGAAAGCCGTAAGAAAACCACAAATTCAATACTGAATACTTTTGCCGTGGAAACACCAAAATGTAAAAGCAAAACAAATTATGCTTTGGTTGAACTACAATTGTGATTTTTTTTCCAGCTTGCTTATTTTGTAGCATAGCAAAACTTGTTGGAAATAAGGATAACAGATACTAAAAGTTAGGTAAGGTGGGTGACTACAAGCCTACAGTGCATTTTGCAAATATCGTTTCATACATCTTCACAGGAAACAACAGCTTCACTTCAAAAAGCAGATGTCTCAAAGGTTAGGAGGCAGAACTGGACCTGCAACTTTCATTTCTAACTGCCTTCACATTTTACTCCCATCCAGTCTTGCCTCCTAATTGCTGAATTCCTTTGTCCGCATCAATTATTCCCTTCTCTGAACTGTGGTACAGCAGAGAAAGCTAACAATAATAGTCTATTATCTGGAAGAGATTTAAATATTGGCTATTGAGGAGCAAAACCTGCACAGGTCAGGTAAATTGCATGGGATTCTAAACTACTGGGATGAGTTCCAAAACCCTCCCCAACACACCCCATTTGCCTGCTGGATCTAACCCAACCATTTTGCAGGGAAGTGATTATATCTCTGACAGTCGAGCTGACTTCTGTCCTTCTCCAGAAGCATTCAACTAGGAAACCAAGGAGAACTAGCCCCTATCAGGCTTGACACTGGTGAGAGAAGGCCCAGTGGCTTATTTACTTAAGGCTGAAAGCTGAGAATTCACGGTGTTGAGTGCTTCCCCATTGGCCATAGGCGTTGTTGGCACGATGGGACTAAGGTCGAGAAGATCGCAGGAAGGAGCAGAGGGCTCATTAGAAGTCTGAAAACAAAGCAGAGACAATTTAGGGGGAAAATCATGCAACTTTTCCTGGCTCTCTCTACATACATTCTTTTGGATATTTTCTGAGGCAAACTTCATCCATGACAGCTCAAATTCCATCTCACGAAGCACATGAGTCCTTCCTTAATTAGAGACCCGTCTAACAACTTAAGATGGAAAGCACACGGCCAAAGCCTCTGCAGGTTGTTACTGTGTGCTTCCTCTTTTAAAAATCTGTTTCCAGGGAATCTTTGCTTCCTGAAGGATAATTAATAAGATACTTAATCGTTTACTTTATGCCATTTCTAATCACTTACATCGGTGGCATCCTGCAGGTTCCTGTTCTGTTCCAAAAGCCTTTGTTGGTTTCGAGTGAACCTGTTTAAATTAGCAGAGTGCAACATCACTTATCAAAGAAAGCCGAGCATTAGTAAATGCACAGATAGTTACTACAGTGATGCCAAGCCTCACCCTTCTCCAAGCCCAGGGAAAATGCCTTTAGTAACTAACTCTCTTCTAGGGATGGGGATATGGATTAGTGACAGAGTTCAAAGATCTGCATTGAGTCCCCAATACCAAAACACAGCCACTAAAACCCTTTCTTCTAGTTAACAGAATACCAACCTTCTTAGAAAAAACTGTGAGAAAAAAGTTTTAAAAAAAAGTAATAAATCCCATGTTCTAGAAATTAGCACTACTAGTAATATATGCAGTATGTGTAGTCTCTAAGTGACTTTATTTCTGTATTAATTTACTTACTTTGAGATAGTGTTTTGCTATATAGCACAGGGTAGACCTATGATCTTCCTGCCTGAGTCTGGAGTGATAGAGTTATAAGCATGTGCCACTGTGTCTAGCTACTTTTAAACTTAGTGGAATTATACTTTATGCAATTCCGTATCTTAATTCACCTGTGTTGTATTTTTCTAGTCACTTAGAACTGTAATTTTTATGCCTATAATGTTTTGCCATAATAATCAACAACGCCCTCACCAATTCTTATTTTCAAATATAAGGTTGTTTCTTACTTCATCATTATAATTTCATAAAATCAAACCAACAGTTGCACAGATGGCCCTGATTAAACTAAATGGGTTACTCAACTAAACAAAAAAAATTATGAGTTTGAAAAGGTACCAGTGTGTGTGTGTGTGTGTGTGTGTGTGTGTGTATTAATAGATCGAGTGGAGAGAGAGAAAGACAGGGCTGAGGGAAAGAGTAACCGGGATGAACAATATGTATGTATGTATAAAACAGCCAAAGGATTAACTTAACAAAAAATACTCAAGTGCATGAACAGTAGTACAATGTTCAGTGTTGCATCTTTAAAAACTTGATCTGAAAAAAAAGTCCGATCTTTTATAGTTTGGGCTTCGTTTCCCATTGCTTGTCCACCGAGGTAAAAGGGAAACAGAACAGCGGGAGCATGAAAACCAGTGAAGCTGAAAAAGCCCACATTACTCCCTACTCCCCACATGCCTATGAATCTGACTGTCTGAACCTCAGGGTTCCATCCACTAAATGGGAATCACACTTGAGCCATTTCTTCAGAGGCAAAATCACATAGCTACAGAGTTACAGAGGGCAGAGGCAGTAAATGTGGAATTGGCTTACAAATTAAAAACAGCTTCAGAAACTTACGGTAGTACCATTATCACATTGACTCCAGAAGCCTAAATATTTTAAAAGCTTATTCTGTATCTGAACACACTTAGGTTTTAGATAAGCGATTCTCAACCTGTGGGTTGTGATCTCTTTGGCAAATGTCTATCGCCAAAAATATATTATAATTCATAACAGTAGCAAAATGACAGTTATGAAGTAGCAACAAAAATAGTTTTATGGTTGGGGATCACTGCAACAGGAGGAATGGTATTAAAGGGTGGTAGCATTAGGAATGTTGAGAATCACTGTTCTAGATTCTTCTAAAATGTATGCTTTGCCAAATGGGGTGATGGAAATATTTTGCAGGTAGGATGGAGGTAAACCTTTGGAAACTTAAAGGCCAGACTATTAGAAGGAGAATAGTGTTCTCCTCTAATGATACCCATGTTCTACCTCACTTCGTGACCATTATAGGCTAGATGGAAACTGGGGAATTGAAGACTGCAGAGGAAATGATATCAGCTAGCAAGTTTACCTTGGCTAGGCAATTTTATTGGATATAAGAGACAAGCTCACTGTAGTCACAAAAACAGTACTTGAAAAGACAGGCTTAGAAGAAGCAGGAAGAGTGTTAAGATGAGATGGAGGCCATTCTGAAGCAGCTATTGGCACTGAAAATGGAAGAAAGAGGCCATGGGCCAAGAAAAGCAGGCAGCCTCTACTGGCTGCAAAGGTAAAGAGTCATAGTCTCCTATGGTACCTCCAAAATGAAAGGCAGCCTGCTGTCATCTGGAGTCCAGTCCAGAGACAGACACTTGCATCTCCCAACCTGGAGAACTGAGTTTATAACCTAATAATAATAAATCTGTGCTGCCTCAAACCATGGAGCTGGTGGCAGAAAAACAAAACTGGTAAGCGTCTTTTCTAGAAGCCCCCTTTCTCTCTCTCAGGATTCAAGGACCGACTGCAGTCACTGTGGTACATGCTGTTCAGAGCACAGTCAACTCAAGCAAACCAAATGCCTGATGTAGAGCAAATAAACAAAAGCTCCTCCTTTGAGGGGGCCTTTAACCAGTGTCTTACGGTTGGCAACAGAATTGTCCCAAATGAAAACCAGACATCAGCTCTAAGACTGAAAACCACGGGGTTAGCCTTGGATGCTCTTCTGCTTAGAGATTTACGTCACAGGAAAGGGCAAGGACTGTGAGTCTGTCCAGTGCTAAGAGCATGGTAACAGGGCTCACAGTTTTTTTTTTCTTACAAAAACTTGCCATCCCTATGAGGCAGTGAATGCGAGATTGTGGAAGAGAAAGGAGCCACCACAGTACAGCTGCTGGCTTTGTCTCCCTGATTCTCTTGCCTCGGTGTTGGTGAGGAGGAGAAAAAAGAGTGAAAATCACTTTGATTTTTAAAGTCTAAATGGAACATTAATGAGGAGGGAAAAAATGGTGAGTCAGTATGGGACATATCAGGAGTATAATTCGGTGATAGAGCACTAGATACCAGGGACACAGTCCTGAGTTCAATCCCAGAATCACACACAAAACTGTAACGGATGTCAATACGCCACTGTGTTAGTTGTTTTCAATATGCATTATCTCATTTACTCGTGAAAAAAAAAATCAACCCCTCCAAAGATATAATTTTTGTTTTTTTGTTAAGGAAAGGCTTCAGAATGGCAGACAACTCATCTATATTATCTCTCATCACCTAGATTTGAACTTAGGCCCGCTCACCTCTTTCTTACGCCACTCACCTCAGTCTTCATTTGCTGGTTAGAAATGTAGCCACTGTGCAATGAAGTAGCCCTAGTAATTCTCAACAGTAACGGTACCTTCCCAGGGCTGTCTGTTGAGTTACCTCAACTCGGAGGAGCATCTCTGGCATTTGGGGGCGGGGTAGTCGCCACACATGAAAACACTATTCTATTCACCATGCCACTCCTACTGAGAGAAGAAGATCTAGAAAGACTATTCTCTTGTGGGTTCTTGATGGCCGTTTGGTGGTGAAACTGAGCGAGAAGAGGATAAAGGGACACGCCACCCGCTCACCTCTCATATCCAAGGATGGCATTATTCAGATCCTCGTTCACTTGAATTAGCTCAACAGTTACATCTTCATTTTCCACTACCACCAGCAGGTCCATGATCCTCTCCTGCATCTCCCGACACGTCTTGTACAGTTTCTGTCAGAGAAAAGGAGGTTTCTCGTTCCATACTATGGATGCTCTTTAAAATACAAATTCCGGTGGTCATGGGAATTCTGTCATCGGTCTGCTAGTGAATTAGGAGGAGCTGCTTGGTCCAAGAGGCGGGGTTCTGATTGGGGATGGACTTGACGTAGGAAGGGGCAGCCCACCCCTTTTTGGAGCGAGGAGCAAGTGGAGGCTGGTAGCTTGCAACTCTGTTCAGGTTCCCTGTTATTTCTTTAATATTTGTGCATGGATTTTACACTTAAATAAATGATAAAAGAATTCTTTAACATGTGGTCACTTCCATGCTGTCACCCGGTGACCATCGAATTTTTCAACTGGGGACAGTTCAACCTGTCCATCAGAGGGCAGTGAAACGAGATGGTATAATTTTTCTCGTCTAAAACAACAATGTGCTACACTGAAATGCTGTATGGAAATTCTAGAAGCCCATTTTAATAACTGAGCTATTTGGGGGGGGAAAATCACTTGTTTTATAAATTTTAGTTTTCTCATTATAAATGAAAAATAACCACTTGTCACATCTACCTCCAAAGCAGGCATGAAAATCAAATAAGATGGTGAGACCGGGAGCTCTGTAACTACAGAGCATAAACATGAAATGTTGTTGTCATTATTAGTGATGGTGGAAGTAGTTAAGAAGCATTTACAGCATGGGGGCATAATTTTACTTCCTGTTACATGTACTTAAGCTTTTAAAGTTTATGGCTACATCACATTCAATATAAACTTAACCAGGATTTAAAAACTCATCATGGATAATGACCTTATTTGGACTACTTAAAATCACTGCCTTGAGCTAAGACATTACCCCACAGCTAGCTTTCTCTCATAAGCATAACAGGCATCTATAGAACACTTAACCGCCTCAGCAGCCCCAAGACTTAGTCTGGGGAATCTACATTTTTCTTAACAAGCATGCCAAAGTGGTTTCTTAAGTATCCTGACATTGTAAATCTGCTGCCTTGCAATTGACTTTCTTCTAGCAAACCTCCAATAAAACCCAAGGTGCACAGGCTGATATTAACATCTTCTCCATCCATCTTGGCTACATCCTCCCGTGCATTAGCACAGCAGCAGGCAAAGATGCAGGGATGTCTCTGCTCTCACAGCAAGAGCATGAGAACTTGCTTATACATCACATAATTATACAAACTGACTTCTCAAGAAAGGTGCACCAAAAAAAAAAAAAATGTGTGCTTCATTAAACCATTTAGAATCTCAAATAGTCTCTTACAAGACTCCTGATAAGAAATCCAGAAATAAATAAGTCAAACTATTACTAACTGGCACTTAGACTCAGATGTAGCAGTTATCACCTCTGCAAAAACATAGAAATATTTAGAAGACAAAACGAAATAAAAAGGCAAGATGAGGGGACTGGAGGGAGGGGGTGACAGGTAGGTGATAGACGAGGCATTATACCCACATTGTCAAGCCAGATAAATTGTCTTATTTGTTAATGATCTGATTGCTGTTTGTGCACACTACAGGGGGTCAATTTTTTCTTAAATATTTTATGCTGTGAAGGCCATCTAGTCTGAGGCAACTATTCAACTCTGCACTGTAACATGAAAAGAAGCCAGCAAAGGAAGTCCCAAAGTAGGTGTGGCTGGTGTAAGACAGGCAAAGAGATAAGACTTTGGACTCACTAGGCCAAAGGAAATGACGTGTTTGAAGACCTACAAAGCCTAGTATACAGCAGGGTGTCAATAAATACATTACCATTGCTTGAGGAAGGGTTGTTAAGAGATTCCCAGATAATTAATTCGATCTGTAACACTTGTACTATTGCTTAGGACCCAATACCACTAAAAGAAGAATCCATAGCATCTAATAGACCTTCCTCTCCCCCAATAATGAATGAGAGATTTTCTGTTATTCTTTCTTCTGATGGTACAGAAAATATTCCTCTTGTTGCTCACAGTGAAGAGACCAGCCCCCTGTTTTAGCAGCCATGACAGGCTAACATGTGCTCACCTAACCTTGCCCCTCCTGTCTGACCTTGTCCTTCCTGTCCTATTCACTAGGAGGTTAGATACCCTCCTGGCAAGGAACCAATCAGAAGTTAGCTGTTGGGGCTGTGCTTTAGGGACAAGACCACAACAGTGGCATGCAGAGCATAGCAACCACCCTAGGAGGGCCGATAGGCCGTAACAACCAGTGGACCAATCAATACAGGACAGGTCATCCAAGCCCAGAAGAACACCAATCCTGAGACTGTTGTGTACCCCTAGACACTCCCCTTATGCTATCAGACACATTCCCTGCCTCTTGGTTTCTTGGGGTCTTTTCTCCAGCTATCTGCTGGTGAATGGATGAAAGGCCCAAGCTAATGGGGTTAGCTCGTTAAGCAACAATAAAAGACTCTTTGCTTTTGCATCGAAATTGGTGATTTGGTGATTTGGGGGTTCAGAATTTGGGCACAATAACAGGAAGCCTCGCTATAACAAGGTCAAACTTAAGGAATACAATAGTGCTAGATGCCCAAGACAAAAAATGTAGACATTAATTGAAATGAATTTGCAGCCAACATCAATAGCCCCAGTCATGTGAAGACCCTCCCTTTGCCCTTTGGAGAGACAGATGGAGAGGAAACATGAAAGGAACACCACATCTCAGCGGCCTTACAAAGCAGAATGTGAAAAAACTCTTCAAAAGCCAGCCCACTCTGATCTTAGCAATTGATGTCTGTCTCAGAGGAGGGCCATGCCACCTGCAAACAGCACAGATCAAGCACTGAAGACAAAAAAAAAAAAATGTGTATGGGGGGGTGGTCAGAGTTCTACACACAGGCCCTTGTGGAGCTATGGATGCAGGGAGTGGAAAGAGAGTGACGGCGGCTAGCGATGGGTCCATCATAGAACCGGGAATTGTCCCTCTATTGTAGACAGGTCTCTAACCTATAGTGTGGCTTAACCATTCCAAAGACCCAGAAGCACAACAAAGAGGCTCATTAAGAGCTTTCTTTTACCCAGCCGGCTCCTGTACTTCCACGGGACACTTAGGAATTAAGAAAAGAGATACCTTCACAGGTTCAGCACCAACTACAGTCAGCCCACATTCACCAACAAGGAATGTGCTAAATGAAACAGACGAAAATACACAACAGCAAAAACAGAAAAAGAGAAAAGAAAATGGCCAAATAGCCCCGTCGAAAAAGTAAAAACAGGAAGTGATATGTGCTTATGAAAACTTCTCTGGAAATAATATCTGTATGGTAATATCCCTATTATCTCGCCACAGCACATTTCCTCTGCCACAGCGCTCCCCACCCAGTCTGCAAGAGACATGCAGCATGTCTCTATCTCCAAAGGAAAACTCTCTCAGCCTAAAGCCCAAGGAACTGACAACACAACCCTCATGAGCTCATTAACTTATTAAAACTCTTTTAACTTCCCCACTTGATAGCCTCAACAACCTATTTCTTTGGGCAACTTCTGTTCCAACTTCTTTTGTTCTAAGGTGTTAATGCTTCAACAGAGCATTGATGTATACAACTCACCAGATAGTTAATTAACTCATGGTAAATAACTAGATGAAGTACTGTTAGGCAGCTAGTGAAACATTAGCTGACTGAAAACTGAAGTTGTAAGGATTCCGGCATTATGCTGGCCTGCGCCTGCCACCTGGCAGAATGCACTCAGGCAGCACCCTGGACAGCCCAGGGTTCCATGGTTGTGTAGTCTGCAGGCAGGTGCAAAGGACCCCTTTAAAAGACAGACCCCGCCCACTTACGCTCTCTTTTTCTAGCCCTCTTCGGGATGTCTCTCTCTTTCCCACTGTTCCCCTGGTGCAGACAGGACTTTTCCTGTCTCCCTCTTCTCTTCTGTCCTCCCTCTGCGTCTCTTTACCTCTTTTCTCTTTTCTTTCTAGTATAACTTTTCACTTAAGCTCTGCCTGGCACGTTTGTCCCTCCACCTTGGTCAACCTCAGCCAGAAATGGAATCCGCCTAGGTCCCCGTATGCGATTTATCATAACAAAAGTGAGGATGGATAGCTCATCTTAGGGCCCCACTTCCAGTGTTCTCTCTGAGGAGGGCGGGGTGTATCACAGTTGCCCCTCTTTAGAATCTGAAGTACTGGCAGTTGATCATAAGAAATCTCTCTCCCTCTCTCTCCTAAATGACTTAGTAGTCGATAACACCTTTTGATAAAGCGGCAGGAATTTCCCTTGCCTAGGCAAGGCCAAAACCTCCCGGGAGAGGAGAAAATCCTGTCACACAACTTCAGAGAACAGCCTGAAACCAGACTATGAAGGGAAACATGATATTCCTGAAGACGTGTTCAGACCACGAAGGGAATAACTACCCCCCTTAATGGCATACCGCATTTAGATGCCATTCCCCCCCCCCTGCATTGCTTCCTGGCCCTCTGAGCTAACTCACTAAGCTTTCTCTCCCTCTTTCCCCCACCACCCAAGCAGCTGCTCAGAATTCCCCCGCTGAGCCTGCTCACTTTCCTGACCTCTAACTGAAAAAGCATAACTTTCTCCCTAGTCCCCATCTCCCTCCTTGCAGCAGCTGCCAGCACCTGCAGCTCCTTTGCCCTGCTGTTGTTTTCTCAAACTTCTGAGTGAGTTTTGAAATGCTTTCATCTCCGAGACTAAGATCCTGCAGAGGGGACCCTGTGTTTCTCAATCATACTGTGATGAATTTAAAAGCAAAGGCCTTTGTTGCTGCCTCAGGTTCCTTCCAAAGAGGCCAAAGAACTGATCCAGGCCCATAGCAAAGAGTAATAGATTGATTAGCCTTCTACAGCCAGTCCTGGGTTCCAGGTGGGAAGTCAGTTGGTACCAACAGATATTTGCTTGAGAGGGCAGGTTAGTCAACATGCCATCATCACAAATTGTCCCCTTTCTGACTATGCAACCTCATCTCTAAAGGGAAGGAGACACACTCCAAGACACTACAAAAGTCTGTTCTACACATGGTAAAAACAATGAGAATGGCCAAAGGATGGTTGCTTTTCAT